AATGCTTTTGCTCCTTCCATCTAAAAGGCTACTCAACTTCCTGTCAAGATGCTATCCATTGGGCCCTACAGAAATTCGTGAGACATCTTACAGGTCGGCTTGTCCCACGGGTTCTAATTTTCCAGATCTTTGAATTTACTCATCACTTAAATATAACTTACCCACCTCACAATAGTCTTTCTGTTTACGCACTATTATACTCTATTTTATTTTGACTACCTAGGCCTTTATTAAAGGTGGAACTTACCCTTTGTTAATATTTGTTGCTTGCTTTAAGTCTGGTTGCTTTGATTAAAAACACAACAACAACAACACCAATGTTTGAACAAAGCTATATCTTCATCGAAAACATCATAGTTTCCATGCTTAGGCCAATATGGTTAGCCTTAAACATTTCAAATGTATGCTATCATTCCAAGAAGTCCCGACCTAAATATCTTGTAGACGCACTTTCAATGATGTATTATCCATATTTGTATTTCATACCATTTTGCAGTTTCCCAGGACGTCCTCCTCTTCATGAAATAGCGTCCAATCTCTCGGCGGCATAGTTCTTACCCTAATTTACGCTGTTCACCCGGTCAGAGAGTACACCTGAGTAATGTGTGCAAAACGTGGGCTAAATGGGTCACTTTGATCGACAAATAGTTGGGCAAAAGATTGTGAATACGCTGAATTATTTACCCACTTTACTCATATTGGCCATTTTTCCCCAGTGCACTGGCTGACCATAACTATCAGCAGGAAACGGAACAACGTTTAGGTTGTCGATCAACTTTGATGGTGACCTTATCGAAGAGTTTAAAATTTAACATTTATAAGAACCTGTTCTGACTGCTTGTACAATAATTGACCAGTTTAAACTTTTGAAAAAGTATTAATTTATGATACTTCACGACTGTAATTTGTAACACAACTGATCGTGCCTGTAAAACTGGCATGCATCTCTTGTAAATTTACTCGTTTATACGAAATATAAATTATTATCATTATAGTAGCGGCCTACAATACGTCTGCGATGTAGTCAACCACACACGGCACTTGATCGACACAGGCGCCGAAGCCAGGGCCCTTCCTGCTACAGGGGAAGATCGACAGAAAGAGCCTACCTTCAACTCACAGGCTGCGAAAGGAAAACCAGTTGCAACCTTTGGTAGGAAATACCTCTATCTGAACGTATAATAACTCAAACCTATGCAGTGGATTTTCCTCATTGGTGACATAGGCCTATCGTAGGCACGGACCACCTAAACGTCACGATCTACTGGTAGATATCCGCCGCAAACGACTGATAAATAAATATGACAGTGCGTAACTTTCTGGTCTCAGAAGTCGCGAGACATCTTACAGGTCAGCTTGTCCCACGAGTTCTAATTTTCCAGATCTTTGAATTCATTCCTCACTTAAATATCACTTACCTACCTCACAATAATCTTTTTATAAATAAAAAATCTATTCTCATAGTAGAGTACATGAGGGACGCCAGTTTACAGGCATCATCAAATTGTTACAGAAATAGAACCATATAATTCAATCACAATTTACAGCCAGTAGCAAGATATGCTTTACATGTTCGCTGGAGATTATACATACACTTGATAAATGTTAATCCCAGTAGTATAAAACAGCATTTTCACTTATATACAATCATTTCTGTGCAAAGTTGGAAAACTCTGCTAGATTGTCAGTGAGTGCAACACATCAGGAAATACAGAAGTATTGTCTTCGCATTAACAAAATAAACCAGGTCTTTGGTGGATGGATTATAAGTGCCTGGAAAAAAATAAAGCTTGAAGTAAATATTCATACATAACTTCGTTGTGTGCAGAATCCTTGAATTATAGTTCATTGATGTGTTATTTTGAAACCAGTGATATGTTTATCTCATTTGATCTGCAATGTCATTGTTGGGAGTAAATATACATAAGCTTCAGACGCATTAATTAATGGATTTCTACTGCTTGTGGGTATTTTCTTAGCGTGAGGAAGGTTTATGATAGCTGGTAACACTAGACTGTCTACTAAAGACACCACCTTCATGGTTCCAAGCTAGCCAACGGCTAAGAAGTAAGCGATAGTGGGGCTTGGCCGATTGTTGACAAGTGTCTAGAACCTAATTGAACCTCTAACGATCTATCGTGCATAACCAGCAAAGGTATGCATCACACCATAACCTTAGAACAACCCGCGACATCCAAAACACGGCAACGTGCTCCCGACAAACTACAACTCGCTAGGGATGCGTTCGACCATTTGCTCACCCTTGGCATCATTCGACCATGGAATAGCCCATGGGCGTCCCCCTGCATATGGTAGTGAAAAAAGATAGTGACGATTGGCGATCCACTAGCGGCTATGGCAAGTGAACGCTAAAACAACTCGTGATTGCTATCCATTGTCTCATGTACATGACATAAATGGAACATTAACTAGTGCAGCCATTTTCTTGAAATGAGCTTGGATACAGCACATATACAAATCCCAGTGGCACCAGGGGATATTCCGAAAACGGCTATCATTACGCCTTTCGGACATCTTGAATTTCTACGTATGTCATTTGGTCCCCGAAATTCAGCACAAACATTCCAACGTTTCGCTGACGGAGTATTGCGCGGACTCGAATTTGTATATACATACTTAAACGGCTGCCTCATTGCCAGTCGAGACAAGGGAACTCACCTTAGACACTTAGAATTGGCACTCGAAAGGTTACGCCTACATGGTGTTACCATCAAAATTCAAAAGTGTCAGATAGGCGTTGACTAACTCGACTTTCTGGGTCACACCATTGACTGCAATGGTATTCGCCCACTTGTTAGTAAAGTCGATGTGATACTGAACTTTCCGGAGCCACAAACAGTGAAAAGTCTGCGCACTTTTAACGGCTTGATAAGTTATTACCAACGCCTCATTCCTAACTGTGCTTCCTCGATTGAGCCACTAACAAACCTTCTTCGACGGAATAACAAGTCCATTGAACTTGATGCGTCTCCTCAGAATGCTTTCACTGAGGTTAAAAAAGCTATTGCGGAGGCCACCCTTCCTATGTATTAGCATCCAGTGGCACCGCTTAGTATCATCAGACACTGCGATCAGTGCAGTTCTGCAACAACTAGTTAACAAAGAGTGGCAACCACTCACCATTTTCTCGAGGCGCCTTCAATTAGCAGAAACGAAGTACAGCACATTCGACAGAGAACTTCTGGCTATGTACTGTGCCACGCGCCATTTTCGACATTCAGTCGAGGGTCGTGAATTCATAATTTTCACTGACCACAAACCTCTGACGTACTCTCTGAACTCAGATAAGTGTTCACCTAGAGAATCACGACAACTGGATTACGTTTCACAGTTTACATCGGATATTCGCCATGTATCCGGAGTGAACAACACTGTGGCAGATGCCTTGTCGCTCATTTGTTCCCTCCCCCGAAAAGACGGCATAGAACTCGTGAGTTGTCGAAAACAGCACTGCAATTAGCCGAGAAACCCTTGGGCATGGGAAGAGACAATATTCCATGTGACATTTCCACGAGTACTCCTCACCCCATCGTGCCTAAATGTTAACGCCGTAACGTCTTCAACACGTTGCATGACTTATCCCACTCAGGTATTCGAACTGCTATCTAGCTCGTCACTAGGCGGTTTTGTTGGCCTTGTACTAATAAAGAAGTAAGGGAATGGGCACACACGTGCTTAGCTTGTCAGAAGTGCAAGGTAGTGAGGCACACCAGAAGCCCTCTTGGTACCTTTCTTATCCTTGATGCCCGCTTCCAACACGTCCATATAGATTTAGTTGGCTCGTTCCAGAATCTCATAGATACACCTATATTTTAACCTCACTTGATCTCCTCCATGTCACCCTATGACGACCCACTCTTCACTTCCCATTTGGATTCCACTCGAGTTATGACCTGGCAGTATCTCATTCGACGGCTTCCTTAATGTATGCCAATCCACCTCTATTTTCTATAACATATTGAGCCATCGGTAAACAACCTTAGCCTTTCTGATATGGACGTACTGAGTACATTCGGCATCCCTACGCTGTACAGATCCAAGGCAACATTCCATCATCTTACATCATAGGCCTGCTTAAATCACCAGGCTACCAAAATTTTTGTCCACCAAAACGCTAAGCAACCTCAAATGCCTAATCGCCGATGGAAAGCAAATACATTCATTGAAGAACCTTAGATATAGTTCTGGAAGAAACATTCGTCAAACAGATGATTTTAGAGAAGTCGATTTTAAGGAAAAACCGATGAAGGGTTTATTCACCACAGGGAGTTATGGAAATTCAGAAGGAGAGGATGTAAAGCTAAGAAGGAGCTATATTATTATTATTATTTCCTTTAATTCCTAGAGGAACATAGGGCTTCAGCCATGCGTCTCCATTGCGTTCGGTTCTCTGCTTTAGTTTTCACCTGGCTCCAAGTCTGCCCACACGCTTTCAATTCCTCTTCACATGATCTCCTCCAGGTCACCCTTGGACGACCAACTCGTCGCTTCCCTTTCGGGTTCCACTCGAGGGCTTGTCTAGTGATGTCACTTGCTGGTTTCCTCAGAGTGTGTCCAATCCATCTCCATTTCTTCCTGCCTATTTGTTTCACGATCGGTTCCTGGTTGGTTCGCTCCCAGAGATCTTTGTTGCTGATCCTTTCCGGCCATTTGATCTTGAGTATTGAGCGAAGGCATTTGTTAATGAAGGTCTGTAGCTTGTTTGAGCTGCTCTTTGTGACACGCCAAGTCTCTGATCCGTATAGTAGTACTGACTTCACATTGGAGTTGAAAATACGGATCTTATTTTTGACGCTGAATGCTGTTGACCTCCACATAGACTTGAGAGAAATGAAAACTTGTCTTGCTTTTCCGATTCTGGCTTTGATATCCTCATCAGTTCCTCCTGTAGTTGAGACGATGCTTCCCAGGTAGGTGAAAGAAGTTGTTCCCTTCAGGTTCCTCCCATTTATGCTGATTGTTGTCGGTTGTTGCTGTTGATGAAGAAGGAGCTATATCTATATGAATATCCCATATCTGATATTCCTAAATCAATAATTTCGGAGGATCCAAAGTTTCACACTGTTCTTCATTCTGGCAAGTCTTACAGATCTTCTGAATCAAATTCTCTTTTGCATCATTTAGTGTCTACTTTAAAACAATGTCATCAAGTTGATTCTACTACTTCTACTACTGCTGCTGCTACTGCTACTACTACTACTACTACCACTACAGATGTTTACCATTTCAATAATAATAATACTGATTTCATAAAAAAATCCAACATTCCTTCTACCAGTTTGGAATTATCATCGTCTGCTGCTACTACTTCTACTACTACTACAAATGTATGCTTGGCAACTGATTTAGAAGAAACAGTGAAACAGTCTAAATCTTCAAACAGTTTGGAGTCAAATGAAAAGCGTAATTTCTTTGATCTAATTAAAGATAATTCTAATTCTGAGAAATACTTTAATCAGTGTATTGATGACTATCATGAAGATGACAATACCGATGATAATAATAGTGGGAATGATAAAAGTAAAACAGTACCACTACCTACTGCCACTACTACTGCTACTCACAGTAGTGTAGTACCACTACGCAAAAAAAGAACTAAAAATGATTTAGAAGTAGATACTACGGAGCAGACAGTAAATGAATCTCCTTCAACTAGTATAGATAATCATCACAACAATAAAACTTCAAAAACTGGTATTCTATGGGCTGTAGATCCAGTGGATGGATGTGAATGGATACTTCACGGTAGACCACCTAGACCATCTATTATTCCTAAATATGGATCATCTAATAGTCGACTGGGTGGTGCTTATCGTTCGAAGACTACTCATTTTCTCAAGTGCGTTTTAGATTGTTTGCTTGACATGCTTTTCTGTTATATACACCTAAATTTAGACAACTAGATAATTTCATGAAACTTTATACATTGTAGTGTCGTAGTATGACGCTTCTCTAAATCATTCTGTAGACTATTTTATTACTTAAACCACAAGCTTGGTACATTATGGACACAAAGAGATGAGCCGCAAATTCTGGATGTGTGTGTGTGGGGGGGGTGAGGGTGTAGTAAGCAAGTAGGAAACGCTCGTAAACAATCAAAGATCGCTAGAGTTATAATCAGAAGGGCTTTTGTGTAGGCGATTATTACTTTCCGACTGCTTACACCAAAGAAGCTGATTTCTTTTTGGGGTACCCGAAACAGAAGGAGCCTAAGTGTTGTGTTGATCGTACGGCCTAGAAGACAACTGTTAGAGGCTGGTCGCACACGACCTGTTTTAGTTGGTTTTTGGAGTTGTGTCTACACTCAAGATCCTATTAATCCTATAGAGGGTCCCAAGGTAAGCCAAGCTGTACATTTGTGGGGATCGAGCTTTTCTGACTCCCCTCCTCAAAGCGAAGTCCGCTTGCCGGTCATCTGAGGGAAACAGATTATTGCTGTGAATCCCTATTCGACTTCGCCCACAGAAATCCAGCATTCTGTGAACAGTTTATACTTTATATTATTTTGATTACAGCTTGATGCCACACCGTATTTTCAGTACAAGTATGGAATTTTCAGCATGGATATCGGTAGCCCAAATTTTACAGGCCAACCATAGATATTGGGTGTGCGTTGGCAGGGAGTCGAACCCTGGACCATGTGCATGGTCGGCGATAGCCCCTAATCACTGTGCCACGGTAACTGCTCTTGGTCCAACCGCTGTCTGTACGACCTCCCTGGCATGGTAGAACCTTCAGGTATATTAGTTCAAGTCGATGTAGCCTGTCGGCTCATTGTGAGATTGCTCACTCGCTCACTTGTGGTACTCCTCAATTATTTCCGTTCATCATCATAGAACTCACAAATTGGTGACTGTAACGTATGCAGTCTCTGTGAAATTAAAGATGATTTCAAATTGACACATCTTAACTCTGCCTTATTTCCTTTGGCTCCCGAGTGGAGGACAAAGCTTCCGCTTCCAAGTAGCCGTGATGTTGTCGTTTTTACATAGTGAAGTGGCTAACCTTGAGCCGAACAACCTTCTCTCTTTACGGAACTTACTACCGGCTGAACGAGGTTTAGGATTGTGTCAGCCTTCTAGTGATAATTCTAAATTGATGAAAGTCGTAGCATAATTAATAATCATGTAGATTGCTCAAACGGTAAATTAACAATTCGTGTTGAATAATGATGGACTCTGATTAAGTCCGTATAGTCACCTAAATGTCACTTATATGCTGACTGCAATACAGGTACTATACATGATTCTGCTTACATCTTCTTTATGATTGGTAGGGCCCTCCTCATCTTTTGAACAACCTAGAATGATGGGTTCCTTTCTGCACCACATTATGCAGTTATCCTATAGGTGGCATTCAAGAGTGAACGCAGAAATCTAGACTCATGTATCATTGGTAGTTTGAAATCGCTGACTTCAATCAGTAGTGCTTGTCGGAGGGATGTAAGTACCAGAGAGACGTACCACCCATCTCGAACTGAGTTCATCAACGGCATATGCATAAAAAATAAAGTAAGACAGATCCAACAGAGCCACAAACTCAAGCCCTAGGAGTTTCACAGTTTGTCGCTAAGTTTCACTACAACAGTTTCCTTTCGAAAGAGAAATCATTCAGATTCACATCATGTGACCTACTATTATAATTGAGTACTGCTTGCTAGCAGTTCACCCAAGGAGATGACAGTGTGGTTCGAACTGGTTTAGCTGGCTGATTTGAGTCGAATCAGTTATACTGTTAATGAGGTCAGCCTCAAACGAGCGAAACCACCATCCTGTGTCTGGATAACTTCGTGGCTACGAAGCTTTACTAACTGATTTGAGTGCTATCAAACTATTTATGTTCGTCAGCCAGTGGTGTTTGGCAACAAAAATTGATCCCTTTGCTTCTTCCATCCCACTCGAATCCGACATAATGTCAACTTTTTGCTGTTTACATTATAATTTAGAAAGTAATTCATACAAAATTCAACTCTGCAATCACACTATGAAACAGATAATTCTCCTTATAATGTTATGATATTGCACATACTATTTGGAAATTTAATATCTGCTGGTGACACAGTGAAAATAATAGACCACTTATCCCATCTTGGGTTTGTTAAAGACTGTAAGTGTATTCACGTTTGTAGTCACCAATTTATGACCTTGGCGGGGTAATTGTACTTTGCTTGTTGTAGTGGTTCGGATTTGGAAGGAAGCGTCAGTTCAAAAACCGATGGACGCTGAACTGTAATAGCCTAGTTCTTTGTATCTACATGTATATAATTTTTGGACTTCTGTTGGTGTAATTCAGTGACAATTATAAAGTGCTTTTTCTCAACTCGTGTTCTGCCTCTCCGCTCTACCCTGCGTGCTTGATCTGTATAATTGTTTGTGTTGTTCTATTACACTTGTATTGTTTGCTCGTGAATTTCTGGGTTTAGTGTGTTTATTTTTACAAGAGTAAGTGTTGAGCTGAAAATTTGAGTAATTCTTAGGTGCATTATAAACGTGAGAAGACATTTTAAAATTCATATTTAAACATGCGTTATAATGCATGGGAAATGACCCTATTTAAAGAGAGATATTTACTACAATTCACATGAGCAAATTTATTCATGTTGCATCAATAACCGTCATCTGATCGCCCGTCCACATTCGTCCCGCAGGCTACTTCTTCATAATCTCTCTCCAGAGCGGCGAAATCTTCTCGCGCCTCCGGAAATTCACCCTCCTCCATACCTTCACCAACATACCAGTGCACGAAAGCCCGTTTCGAATACATCAAATCGAATTCACGGTTCAAACGTGACCACGCCTCAGCTACCGCCGTTGTATTGCTCAACATGCAGACAGCACGTTTCACCTTAACCAAATCACCACCAGGAACAACCGTAGGCGGCTGATAATTGATGCCCACCTTCGCGCGCGCGCTTTGTAAAAGGAGAGTGGCATTTTTACGTTGTGAAGTAAATTCTGCTTTTGTTGTTTAAACCACATCAGAAGCTTTTTATTTCACTTTAACTGATTTATTTAGTTGAAGTGTTGTTCATACTATTCACAGTTTGTGTTTTGTTTGGTATTTACGCTTTTTTTCACGTATATACATTTGTGTATTTGGTTGGTATTAACCTCACAGTTTTCACGTACATATATTTGTGTTGTTGAAACAAATTAGCGCTATGGGTCCTAATAACAATTGTGGACGACCGGACTGCCACTTTTCGGTGGATGATGGTGTGCAGTGTGACAACTGCAGTCTATGGTTCCACAAGGTTTGCACTGGTTTGTCACCAGTAGCCTATAAGAGATGTTGCATGCCATCATCTCCGTGGCTGTGCAAATTTTGCAGCAACCCGTTGGATGTCCTCATCCAAGAGGCAGTGGGACTCCTGATGTCCAAGAAGTTGACTAAAAACGTAATTGAGAAGCCTGTACCAGAAATCATACCCAAAATGGCGGTTCAGGACATAATTTTAGAACTGGTGTATCGCCACCTGGAGCTCAGGAGGCAAAAGAGGCACAGAGTGCCCAAATGTCTGTTGTGACAAAGCGCAAACGACAGAGGAAATCTAAAAGGGCTAGTAGTGCCAGCATGGCAACACCAGCCTGTGAAATGGCCACCCCAAAGCGCAGCGTGTCTAGTGCACGAATGGCCTCTAGTCGAGGCGAAAACAAAGTGGAAGAAACTGACTCCACTTGGTTGGTGCCAACAGGTAAGAAGCAAAATAAACGAAGGAAAGAAACAGCAACCGAGTTCACCAACAAGGTCTCGACGGCTGTTAATACCAGCCAAACTCAGAAACCCACGGACTCTAGTTACAGTGTTATCATCTGGAATTTGGAGGAATCTAAGAACACAGATCCAGCTGCCCGACATGCAGATGATCTAAAGGCGGTTAGCTCCATAATCCGGGAAATACTTCCCGAAAAAACAATTGGAGTTCACGTAAGAAAAGCCATTAGGATCGGAAAACGAAACCCTGATGCTACGGAAACTTCTCGACGACTACTTAAGATAGTTTTAGGGAAAAGCACCATCCTCAACAACGCGTTCAAAATTAACGATAAAAGTTTAAAAATAAGGCCTGATTGGCCTTTAGAAGATAGAATCAAAAGAAGAGAAGCCGTGGCTGAACTAAAGGCCAGGCTAGAGAAAGGTGAAAAAGACCTCAAGATATTGGGTTTTCGGGTGGTGAGGTCTCGGAAACCGATGCTGCCGAGACCTCTCTTCATAAGCCGGATGAACACGTAGGTGTCTCGGTGTGCTATACGAACGCGTGTAGTCTTAGGAATAAGCTCGCCGAATTAGGAGAATTATCTGAAAGACTACAACCTGATGTGATTGCTATCACTGAGACATGGTTGTTAGTGGGTGTAGACTTAACTCCACTCATACCTGGGTACATCTGCATTCGAGCAGATAGAGTAAGTAGTCGGAAAGGTGGCGGGGTTGCTCTATACATCCGCGATGACATAGGGATTAGGTCAACGTTGTCAGAAGCTCATGACAGCGGCACCAGTGAGGCTGCAAGTTGCGTTATTAACCTGAGCAAAGGCACTTTAACGATCGGAGTTATTTACAGAAGTCCTGCTAGCCAAGCTGATGACTTCGTTCTAAATCACTTGAGGGCGTGGGGTAGTAGAAATAGGTGTCTGGTTGTTGGCGACTTTAATGTTCCACACATTAACTGGGGGTAATTAAACTCCACTAGTTTGTATAGCTGTTTCAATAGGGAGTTCACATTGACAGTGCTTGAATGTGCACTCGTGCAACATATGCATGCACCAACACGGCATCACCCGGAACATGATCCATCTACTCTAGACTTGGTATTAACACACCAGAAGGAAGACGTTGGTGACATTAGGTGCCTTCCGCCGCTTGGCAGCAGTGACCACATAGTCATTGCTTTTACGTTTAAGATTCATTCTCTCATACACAGGTCAAAATCTGCTCGTCAAAACATTTGGAAAGCGGATATACAAGGTATCCGGAACGCAGCAACTGCAGTTGACTGGTCAGTAGATACAAGTCGGACTGTCGAGGAAGCTTGGGTAGGATTTAGAAATACACTAGATTGTGTCACTTCACCTTTTATACCTTGGTACACTCCTCGAAAGCTATCGCACAAGCCACCTTGGATTACTAGTGAAATAAGGAGGCTACATTTGGACGATATCCATGCTGAAATTCCACACTTGTACTGAAAATACGGTGTGGAATCAAGCTGTAAATCAAAAATAAAAATAAAATAAAATTAAGCCGGCGAAAGAACTTATGGGACCAATTTATTATGACAGGAAGGGAAAGTTTTCAGAAAGACTACCGCAAAATTCGAAATCTCTGTAAGTATGCGATTAACAAGAGTCGTATAGAATATGAGAGACGGCATGTACTAGATAGTGTCCACTACCCAAAAAGGCTCTTCTCGTTTATTAAACGTAGGACTAAAACTAGCAATGGTATACCGTCACTCATTAGCATTCGTGGAGAAACGGCTGAGTCAGACGAAGGAAAGGCTGAAAACCTCTCTGAATACTTCTGTGACGTCTTCTCGTCTGATAGTACCACCCAGGGATATGGCGAGGTCACTGCCATCGCCACTCAGATGCCCTTAACTGTGGTAGAGCACAGAAAAGTCCTCAAACTACTCTCTAAACTGAAGCCAGGTAAATCACCTGGGCCTGATGGACTTCACCCTAAACTGTTAATTTCCTTGGCGGATATAATATATATTCCGCTTGCGGAGATTTTCCAAATGTCACTGACCCAGGCTAAGCTACCCAGGCACTGGAAAGATGCCATTATAAGCCCTATATTCAAAGAGGGGGACAGGCAATTGGTATCTAACTACAGGCCGGTAAGTCTGACATGCATTATAGCAAAGGTAATGGAAACTATTATAAGGGATCACCTATTAGCTTATGTTGAAACACATGGCTTACTGGCAGTGGAACAGCATGGATTCCGACCAGGACGACCCTGCTTGACAAACTTACTGTTAGCTAGGGAATAATTGGTCGAGGCCAGAGATAAAAACCTTCTGTTGGACGTGGTTTTTATTGATCTTAGCAAGGCATTCGACAAAGTATCCCACTTAGGTCTCCTTAGTAAACTTAAAGGTTTCGGACTAGACCAATGCCTATGTGAGTGGTTTAGGGATTACCTAATGGATAGAAGGCAGAAGGTTAGAGTTAACGGTGTACTATCAGGGTGGAAAGCAGTATCCAGTGGAGTGCCTCAGGGAACTGTATTAGGCCCCTTGCTATTCCTATTATATGTTAATGAGCTACCAGGGATTCTTACTTCATCTTCATTATTATTTGCAGACGACATTAAGATATGGAAAGCCGTAAATAATAGCGATGATAAGATGGTACTACAAAACGATCTATATAAATTAACCGAATGGGCTAACCTTTGGAGTCTGGGAATTAATTCCAAGAAAGGCGCGGTAATGCACCTATGTGAGAAGTCTCACACGTCGTACTCCATGGGGGACTCAGAACTGCCAGATATTAGGAGACAAAAGGACTAAGGGATTATTGTAAGCCATGACTTAAAACAACGGCGAATTGTAATCGAGCCGCAGCTAAGGCTTTTCGAATGCTATGGGCACTTCGAAGGGCTTTCAAACGATTAGATGAGGGTATGTTCCAAGTACTCCATGCAACATATGTCAGGCCTCATCTAGAATACTGCGTACAAGCGGCGGGTCCATGCTTCAAAAAGGAGGCATATATCCTGGAAAGAGTACAGAGAGTAGGAACGAAATTAGTGGTATCTCACACCTTCCTTATGATAAGAGGATGGAGCATTTAAATCTCTTTCCGTTATCATACCGAAGGAAGAGAGGCGACTTAATTTTAGCATACCGTATACTTGAGGGTGATTTAGGAACTGACCTTTCTAACCTTTTCTCTCCTTCTAGGATACATTTACGGGGTCACCGCAAAAAGGTGCTGAAACCGAGGACGATTAAAATGCGTGCAGAATTTAGATTCTCTCACAGAGTGGTCAACGACTGGAACTCCTTACCTGATTCAGTAGTAACAGCTCCATCGGTGAACGCTTTCAAAGAGAAGTTAGATCTCTGCAGAGATATATTTTGCAAGGATTAACACAGGCCACAAGAGCCTTCTATCCTTATCAACTGAATCTGTAGGGCACCAATCCACAAACCGAATACACTTCCGAGTCTTGATACTCGCAATCGCTGAATTCACATCCTTAGGAACAACATCACCACGATACAACAAGCAACACGCCATATACTTCCCATTCCTAGGGTCACACTTCACCATCTGATTCACTGGCTCAAAACACGAGTTCGTGATCTCAGATACACTAAGCTGCGCGTGGAATGCCTTCTCAGCTGAGATGATGGGTGCATATGTCGTCAACGGGAAATGAATACGAGGATAAGGTACAAAGTTCGTCTGGAACTCATTCAAATCTACATTCAACGCGCCACTGAATCGAAGCGAAGCTGTTATCGAACTCACCACTTGGCCAATCAGACGATTCAAGTTCGTGTATGATGGTCGATCGATGGTCAGATTTCGACGGCATATCTCGTTGTCCATCATGAAAGCACAATCTGAGTGCTCCAACGTCGTATGAGTCGTCAGAACAGAGTTATACGGCTCAACAACAGCCGTAGAGATATGTGGAGCGGGATATATTGCGAACTCCAGTTTCGCCTTCTTCCCGAAATCCACCGACAGCTGTTCCGTCAGTAGCGGGGTGAAACCTGAACCAGTACTACCTCCAAACGAATGGAATATCAGGAAACCCTGAAAACCCGTGCATCTCCCGGACAGCTTCTGTATCCGATCCAACACCTCGTCCACCAGCTCCTTGCCCACCGTGTAGTGGCCACGTGCGTAGTTATTCGCCGCATCCTCCCTAACAGTAATCATCTGCTCTGGGTGGAATAACTGCTTGTACTTTCCAACCATCAAC